CCAGCCCTCGGCCAGGGCCCCCACACTGGGAGGGGCAAGCCCCTCGCTTCTCCTGTCCGTGCTCAGAGCCCCCTCGTTCCAGACCAGTGTCCAGCTCTGCGCGCTGCTCCTCCCCCCGACTCCTCCACTCCACTGCGCGCCCGGCCCCCTGCCCGCCCGGCCCCCTTGGGTGTTTGGGGACAAGTCGCCTCCCTGGGGTTGGAGCAGCCGCTGTTTCAGTGCCGGGCTGGCCTCTGTGCTGCGTGACCCCACCTGCTGTGATCCCCATGGCAGCCCCCCGCAGGCGGCCCCACCCCCCCCCCAGGTTCTGGCCACGAGCCTGGCTTGTTTGGTGAGCTGAGCGCTGGGCTCCCTGGCTCACCCCCGGCGGTGCCACCGCTTCCCTGTCTCCCCACTGAAGCCGGGGCGGCCGCGTGTGCCCTTTGCCTTCCGACACCTGTGGGGGCACCACCCGGCCCTCAGGATGGGGCCCACATCCCTGCAGCCCCTCAGAAAGCCTTTCAGTCCCGACACCGTCCCTGTGGGCTCAGCCTGGCTCCCTGAGTGTTTATGCGTCTTCATTTCATTAGGGCCAGAGCCGCTCTCCCCATCCTCACTGGCCGCCGCCGCCCAGGCCCAGGCTCCGCTGCTGCATGCTGCTCCTGTCCCAGCCGGCTGACCCCAGCCCCCCGGACCCCGCTGGTCAGAGAAGTCGGGGCGATCCCACTCAGCGCCCCCAGTCATGGAGGCCCAGTGGGGGCAGGTGCTGGGGTTTGACGATAGGGCCCTCTAGTCTTAAGCATTTGGCCACTTGGAACCTGGGTGGGAGACACGGGAGGAAGCCAGGGGTTGTGGCAAGGCTGTCCCTGCCGCGGCCTGTCGTCCCGGTTCTACTCTCAGTCTCCCTTCCCTGCGGGGAGGTCCCTGAGGAGTGACCAGCGACCTGCGCAGGGGGCTCAGGGTGTGGCCGGGGGGGCTGGAGCGCCTGCCTGCCGGGAGGGGCGAATGGGGCAAAGGCTTGGGAGCCTTTGCAGAAGGAGGCAGGGGAGCAGGGCCCTGGGCCGCTCGCCTCCGCCCTCCTCCTCTGACACCCCCTCCCCGCCTGCTTCCTCAGGCTCAACCTTGCACAACCTGGGCCCCAAACCCAAGCCACTGGGCTGCACCGGCCTGGGCCCTGGGCTTCTAGGGGCCTGGGCAGCGGTCCCTCGGCCATTGCTCGCTCTTCCTCAGCCTAGAAACTCCTGCCCAAGTCCTCGCTGGGCACCTTGTGGCGCTTGGCTGGCTTTCACTCCTGCAGGTGGTAGCTGGCCATCACCCCTGAGAAGTCTCCCGACCCCGCAGGATGGGTCCGAGCCTCCACGCCCAGAGCCTCCGTGGAGTCTCAGCGCCTGCGCGTTGTGTGCCGCCCCTCGGGGAGCCGAGCTCTTTGAAAGCTGGGCCGTGAGTTATTTTTTATTTTTACTGATTTCAGAGAGGAAGGGGGAGGGAGATAGAAACATCAACGATGAGAGAGAACCAGTGATCGGCTGCCTCCTGCTCGTCCCATATTGGGGATGGAGCCCGCAACCCGGGCATGTGCCCTGGCCGGAATCAAACCGTGACCTCCTGGTTCCTAGGTTGATGCTCAATCACTGAGCCACGCCAGCCGGGCTGCCCCACGCACTTTGAACCCTTATGGCTGTGCCCCCCCTGCACCCCTCTTTACTGGCAGGCGAGGTCTCTCTGCCCTGGAAACCTGAAGGGAGGGACTTGGGGGTGGGGAGCCTGAGCAGGGCTCAGAGTGAAGTGACCGGGAGGCCCCTCCAGTCCACCCACCCTCACCCCCGCGCCGTATGACACCAACCCGAAGGCTCCGGCTGCACCTGGCACAGACTGTGTGCTCAGGACGGGTTCCAGGACACGCAGAGCTCCCGCCCGCGGTGCCTGCTGCATGTGCGGTGTGACGCTGCTGAGCGCTCGGAGGGGCAGCTGTCCTTTCTGCTCCCGAGCACGTGTGTGCATCCCGAGGGCGGCCCCGCCCCAGCGGCCCCCACACAGCGCTTCCTGGAGGAGCGCGACCTTGACGTGACCTTGACGTGATGACCTTCTAAGGAGCCCAGGATCTTTCCTCACCTTCACGAGCAAAACTTAGAGTTAAACCCAGTGGTGTCTGCGTGGGACCCAAACACAGGGCACCTGGCTGTGTGTCCCAGCAAATCCGTCTCCTCTCAGGGCCCTGTGTTTCCATCCACACGCGAGTCCAGTTGGTGGGGGTCCTTGGAGGAGCTCCTGGCTCCCTGCTCCTTTGGGTTCCTAAGTCCCCTCTTTGAGGACGTCTTTCCCCAGAAAACTGTGGTTTGACAAGGACTTGGTCTCCCCCTGGGGCCAGGGCTGCTTTCCAGCCCGGCTCTGGCCGGCCAGCCTGACCCCTGGGCGTGCCCACCCACCATCCCTCTTTGTTTGGAATCTCAGAAGGAGCGCCCCCCGCCCCCCCCATGCTTCCTGGAGAGAGGAGGGAGCCCCGCACCTTCTGCAGGACACGGAGACGGGACGGCCTTTGTGCGCATTAGCGCCGGTGCGCTCTGAGTCCAGCCGCGAGCAGCACCAGGTGAGTGCAGGCTCCCGCCCTGGCCGGCGCGGCGACTCCCTCTTCCCGCTGTGTCTCTGCTTCCTCGGGAGTGGCAGGCCGTCTGGGCTGAGCAGCTCTTGCGAGCGGCCTGGCCGCCTGGCCGGACGCTGGGCTGGCCTCGCGGGGGGAGGGGCCTGAGAGGAGGGGCCCAGGGCCCACACCTTCCGCAGGACACAGATAAGCCCCTGTCCGGGTCCTGGAGGCCCTGCCCCTCTGTTCCAGGCTCCAGGCCCCGACTCTCCAGCCGCCCAGCCTTGCCCTGCCAGCTCCTGTTTAAACAGAGGAGCCTCCGTGGCCCCAGAGCCTTTGCACGGGCTGTTTCCTCTGCCCCTGCTGGGGGGGCGGAGCGGGTAGGGAGGAGGATGCAGACCATGGCTGCCTCTGACACACACCTGCCCTTGGACCTCATATCTGTCCCCATGGCTGCTGGGCACCCACTGCCCAGCCAGCGCCTGCCCTTTAACCTCCTTTATCAAGAATTCCACTCTATTTTATTTTTACAATATATTTTATTGATTTCAGAGAGGAAGGGAGAGGGAGAGATAGAAGCATCCATGATGAGAGAGAATCATTGATGGGCTGCCTCCTGCTCGCCCAACACTGGGGACAGAGCCCACAACCCGGGCAAGTGCCCTGACCGGGAATCGAACCCTGACCTCCTGGTTCATAGGTCGATCCTCAACCATTGAGCCACGCCGGCCGGGCAAGAATTCCACTCTAAAACCTTCCTGAATCCCGCCGCGAGGCAGTGTGCGGGGGCCGAGCTCAGGGAGGGACGGTCTCCAGGCCTTTCGTGGAAGCGCCCACATGGAGGGAGGCTGGCAGGGCAGGCATCGCTGAGGCTGTAGCTGCCGCTGACGGCTCCGTGGGAGGGAGGCCCTGGACCGCCCCCGCCCCCCGCCCCCTGGGATGGAGAGGACGCTGGGCCGTCCGTCTGTCTGTCAGGGCCGGCTTGGTCCTGTGGGGGCGGTGGCGCTTGGGTGGGTAAACTCCCAGGAAAATCAGCATCCTGGGCTGAGCAGCTCTTGCGAGCAGCCTGGCCGGACGCCGGGCTGGCCTCGGGGGGTCTCTGGGACTGTGGCCTAGAACCGGAAGCCCCCCCTCCTGCCCACCCTCAGCATGGCAGCGGGGGGGGGGGGGCCCTTCTCCTCCCGCCCTGCACATGCCCGCAGGCCCCGGGTGCCCCTCCCTCCACGCGGATGGTGGGGAGAGCGCGGGGCTCCATCCAGCCTGCTAGGAGGTGGCTTCCCTGTCTATATTTAGAGATAAGGAGTTCATTTAGGGATTAGGGCCGCTGCTTGTCTATGCATCATTACGCCTCCACATCTGCTCCTGAGCCGGCAATCAGCAGAATATTGAGAGGAGACATAAAGAAATCTTCGCGTCGGTCCCCCCCCCCCCCCCCCCCCCCCCCCTCACACACACACAGCCCTTGTCCGGGCCTCCGCCGTAGCGAGCGGGTGCACGGGAGGAAGCGGGCTTGGGCCACAGAACCAGCCGCGGCCTGGTACAGAGTCAGCGAAGGAGAAGCCACTGGGCTTTGACCTGTGACCGGTGCCCGAGCCAGCGGGGGGTGGCGGCGGGGAGGGGGCCTGGAAGAGTCCAGCGGGGCCGTGCGGGAGGGCGCTCGGGGCCTGGAGAGCCGAGACCGGGGCCGTCCTGAGCACCGCCCTGTGGTCAGAGACCAGACTAGGTGCCGTCTCTCTGGGTGGCCTGGACCCAGCCCCCCTCTGTGGTCCTGTCTCCCCCTCTGAAACATGAGGGGGGTGTCACCCGGCCGAGGGGCTCACCTGGCACAGAGGAGGCGAACACATGAGCTCCGGCTCCCACTGTCCCCAGCCCAGTGTGGGGGGCCAGGGCCGGTCCAGCTCTGCGTGGAGGGCTGCGCAAGGGAGCCCGGGCGGGGGCAGCTGGCCCAGTCCTGGGTTCTGGAGGCTCAGAGGGGGCGTCTCAGGCTCCAGCACCAGGGAAGTGAGAGCTGAGTCCCTCCCTGCCTCCCTGGGGACCCCTGGCCAGCCTCCCCATCTGGCCAGAGGGTGGAGGGGTGTGCTGGCCTGAGTCCCCTCCCGGGTGGCTGTCCTGCAGTGTGGGGTGTGGGGTGTGGCGTGTGGGGTGTGGCGTGTGGGGTGTGGGGTGTGGCATGTGACGTGGCGTGTGGGGTGTGGAGTGTGGGGTGTGGAGTGTGGCGTGTGGCGTGTGGGGTGTGGCGTGTGTGGCGTGTGGCGTGTGGGGTGTGGGGTGTGGAGTGTGGGGTGTGACGTGTGGCGTGTGATGTGTGACGTGTGGCGTGTGACGTGTGACGTGTGGGGTGTGGCGTGTGGCGTGTGGGGTGTGGGGTGTGGGGTGTGGGGTGTGGCGTGTGGGGTGTGGGGTGTGGTGGGTTAAATTGCAGACATCACTCTTAGCCCTGCAATGGGCCTCAGATGGCTGGTCCCAGGGAGGCCCACAAAGGAATCTGGCCACTCCTGGCCAGTGGGCTCAGCGATCCGGCTGGCTCGGCTGGGGCCCCTCTTCTCCTGCTGCCCCCCGGCCACAACCCCAGATGAAGTAACGGCAGCACTGGTCTCCACGGCCCAGCCCACAAGGAGCACTGTGTCCCCACAGCACGCCACCGGCCTCCCGGGCGCCTACAATTAGGAGGAAGATGCAAAACAGGGGTTTGTGGGATTGCCCTTAACCCCTGTGGCCTCCCTGGAGGAGGGGGTGCAGTGGGACCGGCCGGAGGAGAGGTGGAAAGGAGGGTGTGAGACGGCACGTCCCCATGCCCGGCCATCTTGGAGGCCTGGGGACGGCAGAGGGGCGTCCAGAGGTGGAGACCAAGCACAAGAGACCCAGCGTTTCCTAATGGGCCACAGCGAGGGCGGAGAGCAAAGAGCCGGGGGTTCCCACCCGGGCACCCAGGACCGCCTGGGGGCACCGCCCCTCTCCAACACCAACAATTCCGTGGTTCCTTCTAAGAGCCTGTTTTTCAGAAGTGACGAGCCGATGCTGATTTTCCTGGGAATTTACCCAAAACCACAGCCCCTGGCCCCCTGTCCTGCACTGGCTGGGCCATGCCAGCCGCCTCCGGGCACTTTCAGGTAAGTGAACCCCGCCCTGACCTCGTTTTGGGGGACAACTGAGCCTCAACAAACCCCCATTTTTTTTTCTGTCCCCATTTTAAACTCTGCATTTCATTCTGGCCAGAGAACCCTCCTGGCCATGGAAATATTTATGTCTCTGGAACCAGGTTTTGGGGGGCGCTTATCTGGGAGCAGCTGCTGGGGAAGGGGCCGCAGGGCTCTGGGCTCCCTGCCCTTCATTCCTGTCTAAAGAGAATGTAGAGACAAGGGCGTGTGTGTGTGTGTGTGTGTGTGTGTGTGTGTGTGCATGCGCACGTGCGCACGCGTGTGTAGCAAGGGCACGGCATATTTCCAGGCCTTAAAAAAAAAGAAGAAGAAAAATAAATTTCTGAATAAGAATGGCCCGTGTACTGTGACCGCAGGGCAAATGCAAATGCCCGTTTTCAAACACAGACGCGTGAATTCTTATTAAGAGTTGGTGACTGCGCCTCCACGCAGGCCGTTGCATATTTATAAGTGCGAGGCACCTGGCTCCCCACTTCAGGGGTGGCCTTCCCAGCACCCCTGCCCCTGTCATCAGAGGGAAGAAGAAGGAAAAGAAGAAGGAGGAGGCCAAACCCCAAGACCAGCGCGTGGGTCCTAAAGCGTTAAGGGAACCGGAGAGAAGAGAAGACGGCGGAAGCGGGAGCCGTCCGGCCAGCCCCCGCGAAGATCTTTTTAGTGTCAGCTCAAATGTACACAAATAGCGGCTGATGGTCTCCTTTATTGGACTAACATTTATCCAGTAATACCCACACGCGCTTAAAACCAGGGAGGCCTCCTCCTCAGGTGTTCATTTGAATGGAAATAGCTGAATGAGTGTTTTTATAATTGCTCCCCCGAGAACTGAGTGTCTAGTGCTGCATAACCAACGTTTCCCATTGCTGGGTTTTTCTCCCCCCAAATTGCCACTCTGCAAAATTAGGATTTTGTACAGTTTTGATACGAGAATTAACCTCCCACGTGCCAAACCCCGGAGAGTGGCGTCGGCTTCCCCACCAGCCCCAAGAGCGGGGCTCGCTGCCTCGGGGAGAATGCTCCCTCCCTCTGGCCAGCAGGGGGTTTGATGGAGGCCGCGGAGGCAGAGGGAGCGGCTCCCGCACACGCCAGTGGTCTCAGGCTTCTGACTTTCTCCTTTTGCATTCAGCGGGTTAAGCCTCGAACTCACCAGGAACTCCGGAGGGTCGGCTCTGGCCTGGCGTTGCATCTGTGGATGGATGCCTTGAGGACAGCATGAAAAATATGGCCGAGGAGTCTCCTCGAGAAAATGCAATGACTACGGATGGGGTCACGTGGGTGCTAGACTTATGGGGGGTCACTTCGTCAACGACGTGTGTACTCACTGTGGGACACCCGAGCCTCATGTCATATGTCGACTGTGATAGAAAAATGAATAAAGCTTTTCTTTTCTCTCCGTCCAGGGCTTTGTCAAGTGCTTTCTCTTCATATTCACGCTAGTGATTACAGGGTTATAATCAGAGTATATGCTCAGGGTAGAAAATCTGAAAAGAATGAAGAAATATAAAGTGGAGCCCAGCGGGCATGGCTCAGTGGTTGAGGTTTGACCTGTGAACCAGGAGGTCACGGTTCAATTCCTGGTCAAGGGCACATGCCTGGGTTTCGGGCTCGATCCTCAGTGTGGGGTGTGCAGGAGGCAGCCGATCAATGATTCTCTCTCATTGATGTTTCTATCTCTCTCACCCTCTCCCTTCCTCTCTGAAATCAATTAAAACAAAGTTGAAAATAAATTTTGCCCCCAATTCATCACTCAGGGCTGAACACGCGTATTTTTGTCCAGTCGTTTCCCATGTGTGTATGGAATTGGGATCGTCCTACACATCGTTTTGTGGCCCCTCTCCCCCCTTTAAGGCAGCGATGAGCGTCTCCGTGCCTGGAGTCAGGGTGTCCGTCTCAGCGTAGTCATGCACATGGCCATCATGGCTGTGGTTGAATGGATTTAGTCACCGTGGTGATGGCAGTGATGGCGGTGATGGCGGTGATGACAGTGATGGCGGTGATGGAGATGATGGTGGTGATGGCGGTGATGGAAGTGATGGCGGTGATGGTGGCGATGGCTGTGATGGCGATGATGGTGGTTATGATGGTGATGGCGGTGATGCCGGTGATGGCGGTGATGGAGATGATGGTGGTGATGGCGGTGATGGCAGTGATGGCGGTGATGGCGATGATGGTGGTTATGATGGTGATGGCGGTGATGACGGTGATGGCGGTGATGGAGATGATGGCGGTGATGGCGATGATGGTGGTTATGATGGTGATGGCGGTGATGGCGGTGATGGCGGTGATGGCGGTGATGGAGATGATGGCGGTGATGACAGTGATGGCGGTAATGGCGGTGATGGCGGTGATGGCGGTGATGGCGGTGATGGAGATGAAGGCAGTGATGGCGGTGATGGCAGTGATGGAAGTGATGGTGGTGAGCTGGGAGTCACTGTTTTGACCGTGAACAAAGGACTGTCCCTGGCCCTGTGAGGGAGGCTTTGGGAAAACGTGCCCTTTGTGGGTGAGATGTGACAGAAAAGCAGTCTCAGGGCAGACTGAGCAGTCTTCACCAAGGGAGGCCCAAGGGGCTCAGGGGGCAGGGGCCGAGGGCGGGAGCCCTGAGAGCCGGGCCTGGTCCCCAGCCCCCAGCCACATGCTCTGAGCCCCCCGGCCACACGCCCCTTCCCGCTCAATCAGCCCTGTAGGGGCAGCGCCCCCTGCAGCACAGAGCAGAGCACCCTGGCTCCACCCCGGACTCTGTGTCACATGACAGGGTTTCTGGAGGCGGCGCCAGGCGGGCTAGTTCAGCGACCACACCATTTCCAAGGCGCCACCGCGTCCCGGTCACCAGCATTCTGTCATGAAGCCGCAGAAGGGAAGGGGCCGCTTCTGCACACGCGGTGTCTGATCTGTAAGGACAGCTTCTGCCGGCGGCTCGTGGTCCCAGAGGGGATGCCCGCTCCCAGCTGTCCCGGCTGAACCCTCTGTCTTCATCTCCCAGCACCCCTCCTCCATGGCCGGGGCCACCTCAGCCAGCCGGGCCCTGAAGTCCCAGGGGCTCTTTGGGGCAGAGGAACCCCGCTCTCTGCAGCCGCCATCCTCGCACTCACGTCCTGCTGGTTCTCTCTGCCTTCCCAGTGACAGACACCTGCCAGGAAAGGGGCCTGCTCCCGGGCCAGGGGCAGACGTCGCCAACAAACCACAGCGCCAGCCCTCCGGACACAGGGCCTGTGGCTCATGAGGGAGTGGGTGCGTGAAGGTGAACTCTGCGTCTTGGCTCCGTCACCCTCTCCTCCCCCCGGGGGGATGGCTTTGTGCCCGAAGCCTCCAGAGGCGGACTCTGTGGGCGCAAGAACGGGTGGGGGAATCTGTCCGAAGGCCAGCAAGGTGCCAAGTGAACTGAATTCCTGGACACACATACATTTATATCCACTCACCAAACATACAAAACACAAGCAGGCGGCAGGCTGGCGATGAGACCACCACAGACCTTGACCAGGTGTGGGAGATGGAGGCGCCCACGGTGAATGTCCACGCACGGCCACCTGGGGATCAGAGGCTCAGTGACGGGAGCATTTCCAACAGGATCCTAAAGGCTCCCCTACCTCCCCGCCCCAGGCCCCCTCATACCCACGCTGCGCAGCAGGAGGGGGGGGGGCCGGGAGCCCTCAGTTTGAAATCAGCAACCCCTCCTGGGACCGTGACCTCTCTGAGGTCAGTCTCCTACCCTGAGGGGTGGGGAATGGCCTTGCCTCAGGTCTTGGGGAAGGTTAAGGTCGTGGCTTCAAGTGCTGCACACGGTGCACACAGCAGGCGCTTAATGAATGCCCGTCCTCGCTTCCTGTCCCCCTCCCCACCCTCGCCCTTCTCTGTAGGGCCTTCCATCCCAAAGCCGATGCCTTTCGGTTTTAAGATTTGGCCTCTCCCAGCCCAAGGCCAGACTCAGTCCATTTGAAAGTCCAGATCCCAGATCTCGGTGCGGATGAAAAGGTGACGTTGCAACTTTACGCCAGGAGCAGATCCAGGTTTTGGGGAGCCTGGAGCTTATCCGTCTGGGGTGCCCTCTGACAAACTATGAATTGGGCTCAGGGCTGTGGAGGGGCCTGGCAGTGAGGCTTGGCAGGGAGCGTCATTAGCTTTCCATCAGTGGGGGCGGGGCTGGGGACGGCTGCCTGCTGTGCCTCAGGGCCTGGACCTGCCGCCGCCGCCTCCTTGCAGCCCTCCTGGGTGGCTGGCTGTCTGTAAGCCCAAGAGCAGAGCCTGGGGAGAGGGAGGCAGCGGAGGTGGGGACCTCCCACCCCTTCATTTGCACCAGGTTTGTCAGCTCTGGGCAAAGCCCTGGGCCTCGCCAGGTCTGCTCTGGAAATCTGGCCGCCATCCCGCCAGGAGCTCCCCCTGCCGGCCTCTGCCCTGGGACTGGGAGGTGCCAGCCCGCAGGAAGCTGGGGTGGGGCTATGCCCGGCCAGGCCTGGGCCCTCCTGGCTGCGATGAGGCTTCCGGCACCTGGGCCCGGGCTGCCACCCCTCCCTCCTGTCCTTCCTCCTCCCCAATGACCCCCCTCTCCCTTCCTCCCCACCCCCCAGCCTTCTTCCTGCTCCCTCTTCCTCTCCTGCTCCCCTCCCTGCCTCCTCCAGCCCCCTGCAGGGTAGCCGAGCTCCGGAATATTCTTCTCCCTCTGGACGCCCCTGCTCAGGTCTGCGACCCCCGTCCCGCACTGTGCGGACCCAGCCGCGCTGAGACGTCCCCGGGAGGACGGAGCCGTCCAGTTGCCTGGAAAGGGCTGACGGCAGACACAGCCCCGGTCGGTCGGGGAGCGGGTCCCCGGCCAGCTGGTGAGGGATGGGCCGGCGCCAGGTAATTACTGCGGGTGCAGAGGTCGCCGCCGCCGAGCCCGCGCGCACTAATCAACACAAACAGGACATCTGTGTTCAGGAGCGCAGCAAACCAGGCAACCGACGCCGGGAGTTTCTGCGCCCCGAGAGCGAGAGCAAGAGCGCCCCCCCCTCCACCTGGGAGGCCTCGCAACTCCTCTGGTCCTGGGGGAACGGGGAGCTGGAGGTGCGGCAGGCAGGCCGGGCCTTTCCCCAGAGGCTCTGAGCACCCTGTGCTGGGGAGGGGAGGGGAGGGGGGTGAAGGGTAGGGGGGGGGAGGGGGGGCGCGGGGGAGGGGCTGAGGGCTGAGGCTGCTCCCTCCCTCAGGTCTCCTCTGCTCTCAGCTTGTCGGAGCCAGGACTTTCCAACGTGGTGGTGGGGCCGTCGGAAGCCACGGGGGCCACGGAGTTAAGACCTGTTAGCGCGTGAGGGGTGATGCCAGGAAGCCGGTGCCCTCAGACCTACCATTCCCGCTGCACAGCCTCAGCCACACGCCTGATGCCCAGGGTCTACCCACCCAGCGCCCTGGCTGGCAGCTCCGCAGGCTCCTTCTCCAGGCGCCCTCAGGCCTCAGGCTGCGAGCCGTCCAGGGCGGGGCCACCTCCAGGGCCCAGGGCCCGAGGCCAGCACAAGCCCCCGCACAGGCCGGGACCCGTGGATGGTGAACGGATGAGCGAGTGGCTATTTTGGGGGCAGTTTTATCCGGAACCGTCTTAGGATGTGATGCCCACCCTGGACCAGCAGAGGCCTTCCACCTGCGACTCTCGGAGGACAGACGCCTAGAAGACCCAGAGGTCTAAGGTCATGCAGGGAGGTAGGGACGTGGGGACCGGACGTGGCCTCCTGTCGTCCAGGCGGGTGTGGGCCAGGGGCTGTTTATTCGCAGGCTCGCCAGGTGGTCGGGTACGTGGGGAGGGGAAGGAAGCCGTGGGGCTGCCTGTCTGTGGGAAGGAGATGAGAGAGAGAAGACTCATTCAGGGACTCATGGGGGGAGAGCACGGGACAGCCCCCCCCCACCCTCCTCACTTCCGGTCACAGCTGGTCTGCCCGGGAGGAGTGGTGCTTCCTCCTAGGACAGTTGGGACCCTGGAGGCCCTGAGAGAGAGTCCTGCCCACGGCCTGGCAGACGTGGGCTCCACTTCCAGCTCCATTACTGACGGGAGAGCAACTTAGACAGAGTTTCATCTTTTTTAATCTTAAAAATATATATATTTTTATTGATTTCAGAGAGAAAGGGAGAGGGAGGGAGAAAGAAAAACATCAGTGATGAGAGAGAATCATTGGTCGGCTGCCTCCTGCACGCCCCCCAACTGGGGATCAAGCCCCTCAACCCAGGCATGTGCCCTTGACCAGAATCGAACCCAGGACCCTTCAGTTCGCAGGCCGATGCTCTATCCACTGAGCCACACCAGCCAGGGCTAATCTTTATGAATCTTGATGGTGAATTCATGATCGGGATTTCTCAGAGGTCGGGGTGATATAGGACCTGTGCAAGCACCCAGTGCAATGCCTGGCACAGTAAATGCCACATGAATGCTCCTCCCTGAGCCGCCGTGTGCTCACGTGTATGGTAGATGCTCAGGGCGATTCAAAATAAATACTATGGGCCTGTCGGTGTGGCTCAGCGGTTGAGCGTGGACCCTGGAGTCAAGAGGTCCTGGTTTGACTACGGTCAGGGCACATGCCCGGGTTGCGGGCTCGATCCCCAGCAGGGAGCGTGCAGGAGGCAGCTGATCGATGATGCCAAGTACTATGGGTTTCTAGCCTTAAGTCTGCATTTTGTTAGGAAGGTAAAGGACAGCCTGGGGAAAGTCACACTGTCATAGTCCGAGGGTCTGATTACATCGTAGCATTCGTCAGGACTCTTGATGGCAAGTGACAGAAAGCCACTCAAATGGCTCGAGCAGATTCTTGTAACCAAACAGACCAAGGGTAGCTTCCGGCACAACTGGCTGCAGGGGCCCGAGCGATGCTGGTGGGACCTGGCCTTGGACTCGCTGTCTCTGGGAGGGCTCCATCCTCACGCAGACTGCCCCTCATGGCGCCAAGGCAGCTGCCAGAGCTCCAGGTTCACACCCACCCTCCCAGAGCCAGTGGGAAGAAATGCTTCTCTCTCTTTTCAGCACAAGGGGAAGGCTTAGAAATGAACGGAGTTGACTCGGGTGGCCTGGCTTGGGCCATGTGCCCATTCATGAACCAGCACGTACAGAGGAGAGGTTACAGTATTGCTCTCAGCTCTTCCCTCTCCTTCCTCTCACAGGGTTACACATCCCCTGCCCCTGCCATCTGACTTGCAGTGCCTCCTCTGGGAGGGGTTTGCTGCCCTGCTCACTGACCTTGAGCTTGGCACGGGATTCGCTTCCGTCAGTGGCCTGTGAGCTGACGTGATGGGAGTCATGACTGAGCGGAAGTGTGAGGAGCTTTAACGTCAGGGGTTCGCACCAACTCGGGTCCTCCTTTCCCTCTGGAAGTGTCACAAACAGAGGCTAGATCTGAAAATAAAGGAGACACATGGGATAGAAATAAAGAAGACACACGGAACAGAGCCGCAGCTCACCGGAAGGCTACATGAGATAAATTCGAGAGCTGACTGCTCGCCGCTGTGAGTCACAGGGTTGGGGATGTTTGTTGCTAGGCACTACCCAGTAAAAGCTGACTGATGCAAACAGGGAGTGATGCTGGGCAGGCAGGCACAACAGGTATGTCCCGGAGAGGCAAGAAGGGGCGAGATTCTGAAAGCTCTGTGAACTCCGAGAGAAAGCCCCTGAGTTGGCTTGGGGGTCCTGGAGCGGTCGTTGTGGCCCTTTGGCGAGTTTACCGAACCTGCTGAGACGCTCAGGAGCTGGCTGTCCAGGTCCTTACTGCACGGATCTGATAGAGTCCTGTCCTGGATTCAGGATTCTCTGAGGGTTTCCCTGTAAAACGCAGCCCTGCTCACATTACTTCCTCGTTGAATATCCCTCAGTGGGTCCCCAGTGCCCGCCTCCACCGTCCCAGGGTGTGGCCACTGTATGTGTCCATGAGCCACACTGCGCGATTCCTGTTCAGTGTCATTGAGTTAGAGAGTGGGGGGCTTAGACCGGGTTCTGGCCTGACCCTCTGCTTGGGGTCCCGCAGCCTCAGTCCTGATGGTGGTGGTGGTGGTGGTGGTGGGGGGGGCGGGTTGAGAGAAAGAGAGAGAGAGAGAGGTTAAAACCCTCCTCAGTTATGTGAGGGACCACGGAGGAGCCACGAGCTGCCTACTGCTTCCGCTGGCGGCTCCGGGCTCCCTTTGTCGCGCCTTGTTTTGGTCCTTTGGGCACACGGAGAAAGTGGCCTCATCCACATCCAGGCTCTCGCTGCCCACTGCCTGTCCTCCCCAGCCTCCTGCAGGCCCCATCCCCAGGCCCTGGGCCACTGGTGCCTGGTGGGGAGGGATCTGGAACCCTCCTCCCGCTGCCCATGGATCTGGGTGCCATGGAGAAGGAGGGGCCTCTGGAAGCCCCTCTCCCTTCCCAAATCAGCCCCCTCCCCCACCCATCCCAGCCCCTCTCCACATCCCATCCCAACCCTCACCCCATCCCATCCCAATCCTGGCCTCAGCCCATCTCAGCCCCCGTCTCCGAGCTCCTAGCATGTTGCCTACTGTGTGGCCATAGGCTTTTGACTATGTCATCCTTTTAAAATATATATATTTTATTTCAGAGAGGAAGAGAGAGATAGAAACATTAATGATGAGAGAGAATCATTGATTGGCTGCATCCTGCACGCCCCCTACTGGGGATCGAGCCTGCAACCCAGGCATGTGCCCTTGACTGGAATCAAACCTGGCTCCTAGGTCAACGCTCAACCACTGAGCCACGCTGGCCGGGCTTATTACGTCATCTTTACGTATGTTTTCCTTCTGACTATGAAACTGATCTGTGCCCATGTGGGACATTTGGGAAACACACAAAAGGATAGAGATGAGAGTGACTGGTTGCTCCGGTTGCCATGGGCACCGTGACTCTGTCGGGACGGCGTCTCTTTGCTTTTCTTGCTTCTGTTTTTGAGGAGGTTCCCTCATCGTGGCCTTCTAAGCTGTCTACTGAGCTTGCCATGTCTTCATCACATGTGTAACTTCTTAGGCCCTTTTTTGCTCTCTGGGTCCTTTTATTGCTGTTTTACTAACATCATCTTATTTACCAGAGGCCGTCTTTTCCATGGCTTCTGTGCCTGTTTCCTTAGCATTTTAAATGTCGTCTACCTTTCCCTTAAAGACTCCTGCCCAGTCTGGTGGCCTTGTGTGGTGGGCCTTGGCTGTCCATCCACAGTTAAGAGTGAGGCACTGAAAAGCCGAGTGGGAGCTGGGGGCAGGGCCGGGGCTTGTGGGCTGACGCTTCTCGCAGAGCTGGCTGGGTGGCATCTGGTCATTCCCTTGGGGGGAGGGGGGCTCCCAGATGTCAAGGTCTCTAGATCAGTGGTGAACCTTTTGAGCTCGGCGTGCCAGCATTTTGAAAAACCCTAACTTAACTCTGGTGACGTGTCACATATAGACATTTTTTGATATTTGCAACCATAGTAAAACAAAGACTTACATTTTTGATATTTATTTTATATATTTAAATGCCATTTAACAAAGAAAAATCAACCAAAAAAATGAGTTCGCGTGTCAGAGGTTCGCCATCACTGCTCTAGATCTTTCCTCTTGGACACTTTCCTCAAGAAGGCGTCTCTGAGCCTCCCACTGAGGGCGGGGCTGCGTGTGGACGGGATGGCGGGAGAGAAGCCCAGTGAGGGAAGAGCGCCATGGGTGCCACCGTGTTCTCTGGGCAAACTTCCTCTTCACCCCCTTTTTCAGTAGGGTCTTCACTGTGCCTGGGGCTGTTGAATATAAAACCTGGTTCATTTTCATCGTAAAAGACTCTTTATTCAGTTTTCTCCTAGGGCAGCAGGGGCATCCGGAGCACAGGGTGGAGGTGGGAAGAGACCTGGTGGTAGGCGGCCAACTCACCCATGTATTTTTATTTATTTATTTTTAAAAATTGTTGTGTCTATTATTCCTCGTATATATAAATTTCAGAGAGGAAGGGAGAGGGAGAGAGAGAGATAAAGGTTGTCCCAAAATTCATGCAAGAAGTAATTTTGATAGAAAACATAGGTTTATAATTAAAAATTGTAAATTGTTTATTGATTCATAAAGTATACAGTATAGGATTATGTATGGAATAGCATATCAGGTAAATGGCCTCCATGGCTTTGCTGACATATACACACTCTTTTGTTATTGCCTGAGCAGCCGCACTTTCGATGAAGAATGGTCCGATGATGACTCCAGCCCCAAATCCGCACCGAACAGTGACACATTGTGGATGCATTTGTTTCTCAACAATCACTCGCGGATTTCCTGAACCCTAAATGTGACAATGTTGTCGATTAACCAAGCCATCAAGATGAAAATGAGCCTCATTGAAATTCAGCCACATTTATGCAAAACGGTCATGGAAAATTTCAACAAGAGTGTGTATGTTCCAGCAAAGCTGTGGAGGCCATTTACCCGATATGCTATTCCATACATAACCCTATACTGTATTCTTTATGAATCAATAAAAAAATTATAATTTTTAATTATAAACCTGTGTTTTCTATCAAAATTACTTCTTGCGTGAATTTTGGGACACCCTTTAGAAACATCAGTGATGAGAAAGAATCATTGATCAGCTGCCTCTTGCACACTCCCCACTGGGGACCAAGCCTGCAGCCTGGGCGTGTGCCCAGAACAGGAATCAAACCTCGACCTCCTGGTTCATAGGTCGATGCTCAACCACTGAGCCACGCCGGCCGGCCCATTGTATCTGAAATCAGTATGTTTTCCTTTCCAAGCTGCAGGCTGAGACTGCGTGGAGTTCTGTTTGCTTTTTAGTAATTGGGGTGAGATTGGGGGTGGGGGACAGTCCGCTGAGGGGGCAGGAGGTCTGTCGTGACCTGGGGGCTCCCCTCCCGCACTGAGGTTGAGTAAAGGCCCCCTGCCCGGGCGTGCACCTTTGTTGTGGGGTAGATCCCTTCCCATGATGGGCTTCAGATGGTCCCCAGTTGGGACAGGCTCTGAGGGCATCCCCCCTTGGAGTCGCGGGGCCCTCTGACACTCTTTCTAGCAGGCCACCGGGGAGCAGGGTGGAGGATGGGAGTGGCTGGTGGGCCTGAAGACAGGCTGGGGCAGAGACAGGACACAGGGCTGGGCATCTGGATATTAGGGCCTGAGGATGAAGCAATGGCCAGCATCTGATCTGATGCAAATAGTTTCATTATCCCTGGCTTGGCCCCGTCATTGAGAATGGTCCATGGTGGCCAGTGGCCTGGCATGTGCTGGGTGTGAGAGCATTCGCTCCAGGGGCATCATGTAAATGTCCTGGGGCTGGGGGGAAGCAGGGACTGACCCCAACCTATGGCCAGGGCCTGACGTGCTGGGTGCACCGTGTGAGTCTCCCTGGGCTTCCCTCCGGGGCTCTCCGACCTCAGTTGCTATGTCACCCATCACCCAGTGTGACCCACCCACCTCTCTGGGACCCCCAGGCCTCTCAGGCCGCAAGGGGACCAGGGTCACTGATGGGCTGGAGGGAAATGACTGTTCATCTCCCATCCATTGGACCAGCTCAACCACTGAGCCATGCCGGCCGGCCTATTGTGTCTGCCTCAGGAGGGGGCAGGTTTCAGGCGGGTGGGATCCATTCATAATTACACAGTTAAGTAAAATTTATGTTTGGAAGAATCAGCCGGGCTCCCTGCAGGCAGCATAAACCAGACAGGCGCTGCGTTTCAGGGTGCCCTCTCCTCACCTCCAGAGGAAGAGGGAGTGGTCACTAGGTGCTCCCCCGGTACCAACGCAGCCGTCCAGGGTGCATGGCCTGGGGCAGGCTCCCTCTCCTCTGAACTCGGACCCTTCTTCCACGGGAACCCATGCCAGACCCTCAGAGTGAGAGGCACCCCTCCTCAGGCCTCCCCCCGTCTCCTGCTTTATCTCCTCTGTGGCAACTATCGCTCTGGCTTAACTGCCCCTCCACATGTCAGTCAACACCTGAACCACGAGCTTCTCAAGTGCAGGTGCCATATCTCCCTCACCCAGTGCCCAGCCCATAGTAGGTGCTCACTAAATACCATTTGAACACGTGAATGGCTTCCTGGAAGACCAATAGATCTCCCCTTCCCTAATAGATATCCCCTTCCCCAATAGATCCCACCTTCCCCAATAGATCACCCTTCCTCAATAGATCTCCCCTTCCCTAATAGATCCCACCTTCCCCAATAGAGCTCCCCTTTCCCAACAGATTTCACCTTCCCCAATAGATCACCCTTCCTCAATAGATCTCCCCTTCCCCAATAGATACCACCTGCCCCAATAGATCTCCCCTTCACCAATAGATCCCACCTTCCCCAAAAGATCTAATCTTCCCCAATTGATCTCCCCTTCCCCAATAGATCCCACCTTCCCCAATAGATCTCCCCTTCCCCAATATATCCCACCTTCCCCAATAGATCTCCCCTTCCCAAGTAGATACACCTGCCCTAATAGATCTCCCCTTCCCCAATAGATCCCACCTGCCCCAATAGAGCTCCCCTTCCACAATAGATCTCCCCTTCCCCAATAGATCTCTCCTTTCCCAACAGATTCCACCCTCCTCAATAGATCCCACCTTCCCCAATAGATCCCACCTTCCCCAATAGATCTCCCCTTCCCCAATAGATACCACCTGCCCCAATATATCTCCCCTTCCTTAATAGATCTCCCCTTCCCCAATAGATACCACCTTCCCCAATAGATCTCACCTTCCCCAATAGATCTGATTTTCCCTAATAGATCCCTCCTTCCCCAATAGAAACCACTTGCCCAATAGAGCTGATCTTCCCCAATAGATCCCACCTGCCCCAATAGATCTCCCCTTCCCCAATAGATCTCCCACCTTCCCCAGTAGATCTCACCTTCCCCAATAGATCTCCCCTTCCCCAGTAGATCTCCCACCTTCCCCAGTAGATCTCACCTTCCCCAATAGATCTCCCCTTCCCCAGTAGATCTCCCACCTTCCCCACTAGATCTCACCTTCCCCAGTAGATCTCCCACCTTCCCCAATAGATCTCCCCTTCCCCAGTAGATCTCCCACCTTCCCAGTAGATCTCACCTTCCCCAATAGATCTCACCTTCCCCAGTAGATCTCCCCTTCCCCAATAGATCTCCCCTTCCCCAGTAGATCTCACCTTCCCCAATAGATCTCCCACCTTCCCCAGTAGATCTCCCCTTCACCAATAGATCTCCCCCTTCCCCAGTAGATCTCACCTTCCCCAATAGATCTCCCCTTCCCCAGTAGATCTCCCCTTCCCCAATAGATCTCACCTTCCCCAGTAGATCTCACCTTCCCCCAATAGATCTCCCACCTTCCCCAGTAGATCTCACCTTCCCCAGTAGATCTCACCTTCCCCAGTAGATCTCCCACCTTCCCCAGTAGATCTCCCCTTCCCCAATAGATCTCACCTTCCCCAATAGATCTCCCCTTCCCCAGTAGATCTCCCCTTCCCCAGTAGATCTCACCTTGCCCAATAGATCTCCCCTTCCCCAGTAGATCTCCCACCTTCCCCAGTAGATCTCACCTTCCCAATAGATCTCCCACCTTCCCCAGTAGATCTCCCCTTCCCCAATAGATCTCCCCTTCCCCGATAGATCTGATCTTCCCCAATAGATCTCAATTTTCCTGCTGCCCCTCCTCACCCCACACACCAGCGACCAGGCGCACCCTCAGAAGGGGGCAGGTTTCAGGTGGGTAGCATCCATTCATAATTACACAGTTAAGTAAAATTTATGTTTGGAGGGATCAGCCGGGCTCCCTGCAGGCAGCATAAACCAGACAGGCGCTGCGTGTCAGGGTGCCCTCTCCCCACCTCCAGTAGTTTGTCACCCTTTCGCGGCCATGCCAGGCGCTCCTGGGCGCGGAGGCTTCTCTACTGATCCACAGATGACGGATGGCGGCCCCGGCTTTGTCTGGAAGGGAGAACGTGAACAGCTTGTCGGCACCTCTCCGCTCGGACATTAAATCAACATGACTCTATTAGTGGCCTTGGGATGCCAGCTGAGCTGTCTCTGAGCCTGTCACCGTGATGTCTTCATCTGTAACCAGAGCAGACGTGAGCTCCTGGCAGCTTCAGGAGGTGACAACAAATCCAATTAGCTCCTCTCCACGGCGCCACAGGCCGCGTGGCCTGCCAGGGAGGGCGGCTGCGCACTGCACAGTGGGACTGGCATTGTGGGAGGAGAGAGAGAGAGAGAGAGAGAGAGAGAGAGAGAGAGAGAGAGAGAGAGAGAGAGAGAGAGAGAGAGAGAGGAGGGGAACAAAGGGCCGAGCTTCATTGCTGGAGGGATTTCTGTGCCTAGAGAGACCTCGTGCCGGAGCGGCCTGCCACCTGCCAGGGGCCTGCCCGCCTGACAGTCAGTCCCACGTTGAAACCATGCTTGACTCCTGCTCGATATCTCGGGGCGCAAGCCCCTCTCTGTCCCTCTCCCAGCTCCTCTGGGCTCCTCCGCCTGCACAGGCCAGAAGCAACCAGGCCTTGCAGCGCTGGTGGGAGGGGAACATTTGGTATTTCTCTCGGTCAAGCTGGTGCCAAGAGACAGATTCTCCGTGGCAGCGAGTGGCAGTGGGGGCGGTGAAGGGAGGTGGCAGGTGGGGTGACAGAGCGGGGAGAGAGGCTGGAAGGACGCAGGACGCCCTCACAGCTTCACGGGGGAGAGGAGGGGAGGCTGGGCGGGGCGGGAGCCTGTCTGCTGTGGGATGAGACACCGGGAGGGGAAGGGAAAGAGGAAAGAAAGGAGGAAAAGGACAACTTTCACAAAAAGCGCAAACTCAAACCAGCCGCCAGCCCGCGTTCACTCAAGTGTCCGGTCCCGGGAGGAACCCGACGGTAACGGTGTCGCGGGCCATTTATTTCCTGGGAACGACTCTCCTGGACTCGGGACATCCCAGCCCTGCCAGGCCCGGTGGAGGCAGGCCTTCCCCGCGCTCCCAGGATCACCATGAAACGGGGGAGAGGGAGGTGGGGCTGGAATGAGATGGAGCTTGTGAGCGTTTGGTGGAGAGGGGCCAAGGAAGGGGGAAATGGGGGAAGCAAGCGGCCCTGACTAGTGCTGGAGGCCAGAGGGAGAGCTCAGCCTGCACAGCACCCTCCCTGCCCCAGGGTGAGGGAGGGGGGAGGAGCGACAGGGCAGGGGTGAGCAGGGGGAGGTGTGCTGGGCAGGGGTGAGCAGGGGAGGTGTGCTGGGCAGGGGTGAGCAGGGGGAGGTGTGCTGGGCAGGGGTGAGCAGGTGTGCGGTGAGCAGGGGAGGTGAGCAGGGGAGGTGTGCTGGGCAGGGGTGAGCAGGGGCGGTGTGCTGGCAGGGTGAGCAGGGGGAGGTGTGTTGGGCAGGGGTGAGCAGCGGGGAGGTGAGCAGGGGGGAGGTGTGCTGGGCAGGGGTGAGCAGGGGGAGGTGTGCTG